GGTCCGAAATAGCTGGAAAAAAATCTACTATCAAGGTTCCGAACAGAAGGATTATGCATGTCTATCCCTGTTAAGAGTCCATTATTATGAACAATTAAAAAAAACTGGAACCCCCATGCTCTCTTTTAAAGACTTGTAAGAATTTTACCTATCAGGGATATAACATGGCAATGTTTTAAAAAGAACTAGAGTAAAGAGAGCTACCTCTGTCTTTCTAAAGTGCACATTTCTAGAAGCTGCCAAACTGCAGTGTTTTTACTCAACTGAACTAAATAACCCCAAAAGACTGGTGTCATTCCTATTATTCAAATAGTTTAGGAGGCATCATTGTGACATAAATTGCATGTTCCTAGTCCTCAGGTTACAGGAATCACAGAAGCTAGAAGGAAATACAAAGGAAGACTGTGGAAGAAAAGAATCCACAGCACTGAGGCAGCAGTGGAGATGACTCGGCAGATGCTACATTCAAGTGAAGAACATGAAGACACATGATTACTGTATATATGTAACAAATATTAAGTATACCTCAGCACACTCTAGGTACAAATCACTGGTGTTCCAAAATATTTTCTGATGTTTCTGTGTGCCTTCAAGTCATTTCTGACATATGGTGACCCTATCACAGCATTTTCCAGGGCTAAGAGAACGTGACATGCCCATAATCATCCCAGGGGTTCTCATGGCAGAGTACACTTGAACCCTAGTCTCCAGAATCATAGTCCAAGCCTCAAAAACACTATGCAACATTGGCTCCCCTTCAAAATAACAGGTATCAATAATGCAACGGGCATAATGTCCAAGTTAAGCATTTGTTTTCCAGAATTCCAAAAACCAAAACTGTCTACATGGATGGCTGAAGTGGTGACACTTTTGCTTTCTGGTGGTTCAATGTATACAAACTTTAGTCCACACTCAAAACTATTTTAAAATGTATAAAATTGACTCCAGGGTCCATGTATCAGGTATAAATAAAGTAAAGGTTAATTTCTTGTTTAAATACGGTTCCCATCTCCAAGATAATCACCATACACATATATGCAGATACAGGCAGTCCCCGAGTTACAAACACCCGACTTACAAATGACTCATAGTTAAGAATGAGGGTGAGACAGCAGAAGTGAGAAAGATCTACCCCACACCTGAAATAATTACAATGGGGAAAAGGTGTATCCACTGAAGCTTTATCACCCGTTCTTATTTCTACACCACACCACATTTTTCAAAATTCACTTATCACAGTGACAGAAAGTGATGTGAAATCTTCTCAACAGGGGCATAGACAACAAAACAAACAGCACAGGGGAATTAATCCTTCCCTATGAGATGCAAAGCTTGAAAATATTTATTTTTAGCTGGAGTTGTGCTGAAAAAATATGTCTGTTTAGACTCAAATACAAACTCAAGCTAAGAACAAACCTAAAGAATCTATCTTGTTCATTACCGTGGGGATTGCCTATACAAATATTCAAAAATCCAAAAAAATCTGAAATCCAAAGCATTTATGTCCCAAACATGTTCAACCTGCTGCTCAACCTGTACTTGGAAGTAAGGTATGCTGGTTTCTTCAAACATGGCCAAGATCTCTCAAAGAAAGTACCTACATATTGGAAATATCATGTAAGCTATGCATGAATGGATGAGGCTTTCCTAAACTCACACACATCAACATATGTATGTCAGACTATCATACCTTAAAAATCTGCACCCAACTTTATTCCTTTTCTCAGAACAGAAAAGGCACATAGAATCCAGCATTCTCCTCTCACCGCAAGAAACCAGGTGCCTCTTACGAAACTGACCAGCAAGACAGGAGTACAGCATTCTCCCTCATTGATCGCAAGAACTGATATAAATTATTATTGTTTACTATATTTGTATCCTGCCTTGCTCAACCCGGAGGGACTCAAGGCGACCTTACAACAGGCAGCAATTTTATGCCAAATATAGATCAATACACAATTACAATTAAAACCAAACAATTAAACATAACTTATTAAGAATCAATTAAAATCACATCATACAAAAAGTAACCCAAGGCCGTTCTATTTATCAACACATTACTTTGTAGTCACTGCCTCTGATAATAGAACATTATTCAGCCATCAAGACTAGAAATCTTCTCTGCATAAAAGGACAGCTCAAAGTAGTACTAGCTAGTAGTAGCTATCCAAAATGCTTGGAACCAGAACTGTTTGGGAGTTTTTTCAGATTTTGGAGCAGCTACATTTGTGTGTGTGTGTGTGTGTGTGTATACATACATACATACATACATACACACACAATGAAACAAAATGGGTTTTGTTTAAAAACAAAACCCATTTGTGTTTTATATACATTTTGTAGCACATAGCTTAGAATAAATTTTATACATTACTTACGTACATAATGAGATTTCTTGGGAGATGAGACCCAAATCTAAAAACAAAACTCATTTATATTTCATGCACATAGCTTGAAAGTAATTTTTACATAATATTTTGCATAATTTGGTGCATGAACCAAGTTTGTGTACACCGAATCACCAGAAAGCAAAAGTGTGCCATCTCAGCCCCCCTTGTGGACAACTGTAGATGTTGGAGCATTTGGGGTAAGGGATGATCAACCTATCCCAAGCCTGCCAGATTTGAAATCATGGTGACCCTCCCACTGAAGCTAGCTGGTCTCTCTCCCTGTCCGCCTGGCTCCTTTGTGTCCTCCTCTAGACAAAGGCAACCCTTCTTTGCAGTCATTTTGCGCTTCCAGCACCAGGTGTTTTTCATCCCGTTAGCTCTACAAATGCTATCTCATTTTAAAACATAAAGGAAATGGGGGTGGGGGATCTAGAATAATCCCCTTTATAGCAAACTTTCTGGGCCTGTGGAGCAGTCGAATGCCTATCAGTGGAGGCACAAAGTAGGTAAGCGATTTCTTCATGCTCACTGTTGGACAAAATCCACAAATTAGAATGTTATATAAAAACAAATGAATGCCAACACCAAAAACAAAACAAAACAAAAAAAGCCCTGGAAGAGTATTAAATGAAAAAAGCTGAAGACCTGGCTCTGCGCACAAGCGTTTGAAGAATAAGTTTCTACAGTTTCAACACAGTCTGGATTAAGGATTATGAGCAGGGCTTTGTATGAAGGGAACTATGTACTTTATATGCTTTTTAAAATTTGTATGCTGTTTTATGTGTATTATTGCTTAATGTTAATTGTTTTTAAGTGTTTTAAAGTTTTATTGTTATTGCTGGGTTTTGTTTTTTTTTTGCCTTAGTTGTTAAGACGCCTTGAGTCCCCTTTGGGTGAGAGAGGTGGGGCAGAAATGAGTTGAATAAATAATAAATATTATGCTCTTTAGGCTTTTTCATGGGCCCTGCTTTTACTCGGGAGTAGCTCTCTTGAACAATGTCACCCTGGTGCCACTCATTCGTACCCAAGTGAAAACGACAGAGGGAGGAGACTGCCTCCGTCTACATCAGGTATGGGCCAACTTGGGCCCTCCAGGAGTTTTGGACTTCAACTTCCACCATTACGCAAAAGATGTGGCTCGTGGCTGTTAGGAATGGAAAGGAAGGGGTCTGAGGCTGTTAGGAATGGAAAGGGAGGGCCTGAGGTTGTTAGAAATAGCACTTCAAGGAACAAGACAGGCTGGAAACAAGTTACAGCATACTTAACAAAAAAGAATGTGAAAATACTTATTTAAGAAAAACAAGAAAGCAATGGACAAAATGAAGAAAGGGAGAAAAAGAAAAGAAAAAAATAAAGAAAAAAGAAAGGAAAGGGAAAGAACCTCATAGAAGATACTGGGAAGTCTGAAAATATACATTCTTATTTATTTTATTCTATCCATTTCTACATCTTTCATACTCACGATTTCATACCCCCTCCCCCCCAGCCCTAACTTTACTCGACCTTTAACCTTTCTCTTTTCCCTTTAAACACTATTATTCCTAATCCAATCCACACTTCTACTTTTATATACATATCTCTATCTGAAGCTCTTTGATATTTTTACCATAACTTTGTGTTTTTTTTGGGGGGGGGGGATCTAAATACAAATTATTTTAAAATAAAGAAATGGAAAGGAAGGGGTCTGAGGCTGTTAGGAATGGAAAGGAAGGGGTCTGAGGCTGTTTAGGAATTAAAAGGAAGGGGTCTGAAGCTGTTAGGAATGGAAAGGAAGTGGTCTGAAGCTGTTAGGAATTAAAAGGAAGGGGTCTGAGGCTGTTAGGAATGGAAAGGAAGTGGTCTGAAGCTGTTAGGAATGAAAAGGAAGGGGTCTGAGGCTGTTAGGAATGGAAAGGAAGGGGTCTGAGGCTGTTTAGGAATGGAAAGGAAGGGGTCTGAGGCTGTTTAGGAATTAAAAGGATGGGGTCTGAGGCTGTTAGGAATGGAAAGGAAGTGGTCTGAAGCTGTTAGGAATGAAAAGGAAGGGGTCTGAGGCTGTTGGAAATGGAAAGGAAGGGGTCTGAGGCTGTTAGGAATGAAAAGGAAGTGGTCTGAAGCTTTTAGGAATGAAAAGGAAGAGGCCCGAGGCTGTTAGGAGTGGTCCAAAACGCCTGGAGGGCCCAAGTTAGCCCATGCCTGGTCAACACACTAAAATTAATACAGTAGGCCGCACATTGTGGGATCATGGGAGTTGGAGCCTTCTCTGCCTCAGAGTGGGGCGCCTCACCCGACCACAACTCGGACGAGTCCACAGCACGGAGCCCCGGGAGTTGAAAGCGGTGCCGAGCCGCGTCCATTCCCCAGTGTAGAGATTGAGGCCTGCCTCCCTCCCTCCCTTCCTCTCTCTGATGAGGCAATTGCTCCTCCCGCGTCAGCACTTCGGAGGCCGGTGACGAGGCAAAGGCCCCGCGCGGAAGCCAGCGGCGCGAGGAGGAAGGGAGAGAGAACATGGTCGCCGGTTCCACACACACACACACAAAATACCCCTTCACACAAGACACACACTCCGCTCTGAGGCACCAGCCACGCCCCTCCCTCCCTCCTTAGCTGGCTCTCTCTCTCTCCTCTCACCTGCCGGATGCTGCTGGTCTCGGGCACGGCGAATTCCTCCTTCTCCTTCGGGGTCTTCACGGTGACTTTAATGATCCGCGGCTCGGTGGCGGCGGAGGCGGTGGCGGCGGCGGCAGGGGCGGGATGGCTCTCGCCGGGGCCCTGGGGGCTCTCGCCGCCCTCAGACATGGCGCGCGGGCCGACAGACGGAGGAGAAGCCGCCTCCGCTCGTTAAAGCCAGGCCGCGCGGAGAATGCCGGGTAACGCCGACCCTCCCTCCCTTCCTCCTCTTCGTCGCCTTCTTCTTCTTCCCCTCCTCGGTCCCCTTCTTCTTCCTCCTCCTCCTCCTCTTCCCTCGCGCACACCCCGACGCGCGACTCAGCTTTCTCTCCCAGAGTTCAACGGAAACAGTCCGGCTCGGCTACTACGGCGCCTGGTGATGACGTCAGAGGTCGGGGAAGTTGCTAGAAAAAAGGGGAGCGGGGTTGGTAAGAGAGAAAGAGAGAGGCGCAGGCGCGCATGTGCACAACGGAGAGGAACAAAAGGCTCCCCCCCTCGGAGGTGCCGAGGTCACTGCGCACGCGCGGCTGGGGCGGAAAGCCCCCGCTGGCATTGTCAGGCGGGCGGATGCTCTGCGCCTGCGCAGAAAAAAAGCTTTTCGGCTGCTCGCAGTGGCGTAGTTAGTTACTCTCTGGTGCGTTGTGTGGTGGGATGCAGGCCGGGGCAAACGTGGGTCCTCTTGGGCGTTTTGGACTTCAATTCCCACAATTCCTAACAGCCTCAGGCCCCTTCCTTTCCTCAGCTTAAGCGACTGAGGGGGAAAAGGAAGGGGCCTGTTAGGAATGGTGGGGAATTGAAGTCAAAACACCCGGAGAGCCCAAGTTTGCCCAGGCCAGGTGGAAACTTAGTGGGAGATATATACATTAACCATTTATTTATAGTGTCAGAAGCAAATGGAGAAGAATAATGATAATAATAAATGATATATATTATTATAATATCATAACATTATAATGTATCATAATATAATAATTATATATATTATAAAATTGTAATATGATATATATTATAATCATTATAATAATAATAATATAATGATATAATGTATTATAATAATATAATAAAGCTTGGGAAGTGTTCAACGTGTGATTTTGTGATTGGAAATCCTGACCTCATGATCATGTTAAAAAACAGTATGGGTCATCGATGCAATCCCAGACGACAGCAGGATTGGAGAAACAACCGGAAAAGCTGACATGAGGATTTAAAGACTGAACTGCAAAGACTTTGGCACAAGCCAGTCATGGTGGTCCCAGTGGTGATTGGCACACTGGGTGCAGTGCCTAAAGACCTTGGCCTGCACTTAAGCACAGTTGGCACTGACAAAATTACCATCTGTCAGCTGCAAAAGGCCACCATACTGGGATCTGCACGCATTATTTTGGACTTCATCTCCCACAATTCCGAACAGCCAGTTGAAGTCCAAAACATCTGGAGGGCCCATTTGCTCATGCCTGGTATAGAAACACCCTAAACTGAGATTGCCGTATCTGAAGAAGACATGACTCACAACAATGAAAAGTAGAAGGCAGTAAATGAGGAAACCTGTATCACAAATTGATAGACTCAGTCAAGGAAGACATGTCCCTAATCTGCAAGAGCTGTGCAGGGTGGCTAACCTTGTGCAGGATTAATAGAGTTAAATTGAGACATCTCATTCATAGGATCACCATAAGTCAAAGCAGATGGTAGTTAACAACAGCCATACTGATGGAGAAATTTCAGCAGCTGCCCCCCGCTTTCCTTTGAAACAATCTGAAAATTTGGGACTATAACTTCCATCAAACCTAATTAATACATCTTACATCCTGTAGTAAGAAAATATGGTATAAACATTGTTTTAATCTAAAATATCTGGAGGATCATACTCTGATAATAACAATATGATCTGAATAAAAATTTCTATAAATTGACTAATTGTTGGCATTTAACACGAGAAATGTGTGCTAAAATGCATAGAGGATCTAATTAATGTTTGAAGTATAAACAACATATGGGATCTTTTTACCATGTGTGGTGGACTTGCAGAGCAGTCAAAAGTTCTGTTGCCAAAGACATAACGTGATATTTAAAAATCTTGAAATTTAATTTTCATTGAAACCTGAACTGTATAATTGAGCTTTTGCACAATTTAAAGCTTGTGCGCCAGCTGCGCCCGTATCTTGGGAAGTCTGACTTGGCCACAGTGGTCCACGCTCTGGTTACATCCCATATTGACTGCTGCAACGCTCTATACGTGGGGTTGCCTCTGAAGACTGCCCGGAAGCTGAAATTAGTCCAACGTTCGGCAGCCAGATTACTAACCGGAGCAGGGTACAGAGAGCGCACAATTCCTTTGTTACGCCAGCTCCACTGGCTGCCAATTAGCTTCCGAGCACAATTCAAAATGCTGGTTTTAACCTACAAAACCCTATACGGTTCCGGCCCGGTTTACCTGTCTGAATGTATTCTCCCTTATGAACCATCAAGACAAATAAGATCTTCTGGTGGGGGGCTGCTCTCGGTCCCGCCACTTTCACAATCGTGTCTGGCAGGAACAAGAGACAGGGCCTTTTCTGTGGTGGCCCCTCGGCTATGGAACTCTCCCGATTGAGATCAGATCTGCCCCCTCCCTCCTGTCCTTCAGGAGGCTGGTGAAATCCTGGCTATGGAAAGAAGCATTCCCAGAGTAATGGTTGAAACCGGCTACAGAACAAAGTTATCGACTACACATACGGACTGAGTTGGACGTGATTTTACCTTGGCAATTTGGCTTATTTGTAATTTTAATCGATATGTATTTTAATTCGTTATTATATGATGTTTTTAGATTGTACTATTAGCATTGAATCCTTGCTGTAAGCCGGTCTGAGTCCCTC